GCGGGTGCCGCGGCCGCGGTGGTGGGGAGCCCCCAGCCGGCCGAGGCGACCCCTCAGAGGCCGCCTCCTTCTCCTCCTCCTCCTCCTCAGCGGCCTCCCCGTCCCCGCCGCCTCACCGGCCCCGCTGCCCGGGCAACGCGGGAAGGAGGCCGAGGCCGAGGCCCGCCCGGGGAGGGGGGGAAGGCGGGGACGGAGGGGCGTTGCCGACGTTCTTCCAAACGCAAGAGGGACAGCTGCCTTCCAGCTCTTTTCGGGACGTTTCTAGAAAGACCCTGTCGGGGTTGAAGCCCGTCGGGCAGCTCAGCCCCCCCTCAGCAAACCCCTGCGTGTCGTGACCCCCCCCCGCATGGCGACGCTTCCCCTCAGCTCATGTCCGCCCTGCCTCGGGCTCCCTCGTACCTCCTCCTCTCCAGGCTCGGATGAGACGCGAACCGCGGTGGAAGAGGTACAGGGCAACGCGTTCCCTAAAATTCCCCATCACAGGAGCCGCGGCTTCCACGGAAGCCTCAGCCACGGGCGCCCCTCCTGGTCGGCCTCCCCAGGCCTGGACACGGAGGACAGCGGGACCACCGGGGGACCCTCCCCACCGCGCGGCCGCTCCCCCGCTCCCGCCGCTCCAAACCGGGCCCGACGCGGGCTGAGGCGGCAGCCTGGGCTGGCCCACCGCCCCCCAACCCCACGGAGCCAAGCGCCCTCTCTGCCTCAAAGGCTCCAAGACCTCCGCTCTTCCCACGGCAGCGGATAAAACCGGCACCGGTGGCAACCCCGGGTGGCATCCTCTGTAAAGACGCTAGCGCGTCTCTTCGTTATAAAGCAGCGTCCCCTCCAACGCGGGCTGCGAGTACGCCGAGCGCTCAGGTGAACTTCATCGTAGGATTATCCGCTCCGGAAAGCCCTTCATTGCTCCGCGGACGCAGGCGCTGCACCTTTGAAACAGGCCAAACAGTTACTGCAAAACACAGTCTGACTTGAAGACAGCTCTTCTTAATCCACATTACATCCCCGCTGATGAACATTTAAGGCCACGCAGGGCAAAGATAAAACGGTGGTCTCTGGAAAACAAAAAGCACACATTTTAACAGCTGTTTAATCTTTCATAAACCATGAATACTCTGTGCAGGCTACACGGCAAGTATTGGGCCTCAAAATACTTTGCAGATTCCTGCAACTACATGAAAACAGCAAGCTTCTGACATAGCATGACACACCTCTTCTTTACATGGGTAGATGCTTTAAAACAATTAAGAACTCTATAGCAAAATATACCTGTAGCAAAACATTATCCTGCAGGGGTTTACAGAATGGAATTTAATTAATTTCACAATGCAGTTTTTCAAAGGTGTCTCAGGATAACAGGTAAGTGGCAAGTTTCATATTCTCTCTCAGACACAGTCCTTGGACACACTTGGAACCACCCTAAAAATGCTCAAAAAGTAAATGTCATACTCTCAATGCTTTCCGCTATTTGGTCCAGTGCAACGAAATCATGCATAAAGCTGCCAGACCGTATTATAAGAAACAGCAGCACGTAGGTGGAAAGTTTTTCTATGAGTATTTAATAAAAACCTGCGCATTCTTAAAACATGTTATTTTATATGAATTGCAAACTGGTGGAAAAAGCAAAAGGCTAAAACTTTCATGTAAGAGTGAAAAATAACTGGAAAATAGCAGACCAATTAATCACGTGCTGCTCCAGAACATGCTTAATCTATAAAGGCTTGACTAAATTGATCTTTGTATAAATGCTTACACATAACAAAAATTAACAAGACATGCTGCATCAAGTAATAAAAAAACCTCTGGGGGATGTGCTGCTTGCTCCTTGCAGAACGAGGAGCATGGGCACTGCTCTCCTCTCTCCTTTGACCCCAGCTGCCCAGAGATCATCATGTATTTAACTGGGGGGGGGGGGGGGGCACAAAAC